GAGAGAGAGAGAGAGAGAGAGAGAGAGAGAGAGCTTGGTGACATTTGGATCCAGACTCGACATTGGACTTCAGACATATCGAAGAGGGATTATTTGGGACTTGAAACGAGACTTGGGGTTTACGACTTTCCCATCTCCCCCTTCCTCTTCCTCGTCTGATCCCCTCCTCTTCGTCTGTGTATGTCTGGACATGGCGCCTCTTTCCTGTGTATAGTGCCAGGCTCCTTCACACCTTGTGATGGACATGATGCATGTTTGGTCTGCGTTTGAACATCAATTGGGCTAGTCATTTGCATTCTAGCATTCCGCTTCGCTATCTTGTGCTACGTGAATGAGGTCAGTCCCGGCCAGGTCAGGATTTGTATATAAGTCTTCCCTGCGCTACCAAGCACCATTCTGTATGTATCGAAATGCACATTGCTTGTTGAGATTCCACTTGCATTGCATTGTCCATTCAGTCCTTTTTATCACATTGCGGATCCTCGGTTATTATGTACATCGCCCAACTGGGCATGTAACACCTACCTTTGGAGGAACGGACTCCCTTATGCGTATAACGATGAGAGAACGGATGAAGTAGGGACTAGAAGGGGGTCATGCCCAGAGGCCAGGGGCTCACATCAATTAGATTCAAGAGGTGCCCCGGGGGCTCATTGCTAGTACTAGCATCTTTGACTCAGACATCCAAAGGTTTTCTAGGGCCTGTATTCATCCCGAGATGAAAGATCTTAGTACAGCAGAAAAAGTGGGGTGTAGGTAACAGAAATGAAGGGTGGTACATCATTCCGGATAGTAGGAAGCAATCAATGCCCCCGCCTCGGTGTCCCTCGGCCATAATATAGGGAAGCATCGAGTGGGTGCATGCTGTAAGGGATGCTGCACCCAGTTTCCAGCTTTTGTAATCAAAAGGGTCCTTTTGATTGGCAGCAGCAGATGCAAAGGGGACTCAGGGGTCGAATGGACAAGTTCTGGGATACCTTGGAAAGGTAGGGGATTTCGTGAGAAAGGAAGGCCCAGCGGGGACCCTGAAATTTGGCCAGCTCCTGGAAATACTGGAGTACGTAAAGTGGAGAGATAGTGTACATTAGTAGAGTGGGAGGGGTTTTGGGGTGGGTTGTGATCAGGAAGAGAAACGATTAGAAAGGTTTGCAAAGTCGTAACAAGAACTGAGAGTAGTAATTGGGGGAAGAAAGTCTGTATGGGCACGACTCATTTAGTTAGTGGGCCCAATGAAATGTGTTGAGGAAGGACAGACCTGGATGATGGAGTACGCGGGGAAGGAGGGAGAACAGGGACGGTGGTGCACGAGTAAGAGGTGTACGCTTTGAGGTGCGGTTAGGTAGAGACGGGGCGCGATGAGCTTGGGGGTGAGGGTCGAAGCGAGCAAATTGGTGTTGTCAGAGGATAAGTGGAGTCTGAGTCTGTAGGAATGGGGTGATACTGTGTTGTAGGGATTGGACTAAATCCAGAGCTGGACGACTGCTAATGCAAACAGGCCCGGAGAGGGGTGATTCTAGGGATGTCAATGTTGTGCGTCTGGGTACTGTTGGGAGATTTCCCGGCCGGCACAGGCACACCTCTAGAAGGCCCTGAGCAGGGGCGTAAAAGAGTAGGTTGGAGTCTCCTCCCCTTACACGGCTTATGACGGATGGGGATGGCCCTCTTCTCTTTTCCTGTCTGTTCTTCTTGCTACCTTTTTCATGTCTTGCTGTCCGAGCTTTTGCTTGCTGGTGACAAGCAACCGGACTGTTACCCTCCAGGATAGACAGGACGTGTGTTGCGCCTGTGAAAAAGAAAATTGCAAACTACTTGCCATGAGCGAGTTATGTCTTGGTGACTGCCAGCCTGTCTGATTGCAGTATCGCCATTCAGACAAAGCAAACCAAGTACCAGGTGATGATGAGGGCCTCACCCACTCCAAAACTACATCCACTAGACATTCAGATAGGTCACAGAGCATGGAAGGTGCAGCTGGGGTTCAAAGATATACTCACTCGTGTTTTGCTGCTACGAGGATTCGATAGTCATCAAGGAGCGCCTGCAGCTGGCACAATCGTAATGACGTGGGCTCGCATTCACTCAAGTACTTCCTTGCCACTGAAGCAGCTTCCTGTTCTCAAAGGAAGTGGAAGACAACCACACAGCCATGTCACTGTTAGAACTGCTGCGGTTCTCACAAACAGACAACTTTTCCCACACACTGAATGCCATCATTCTCCAGTTACATATAGCAAGGAGAAGTTGATGATCACAAAGTGCTTTCATGCATACAAAATCCACATATGCCACAAGGGATGCATGACAAACAAGGTTGTGTCATAAAACACCTCACGACTCTCTTGCAATGACCATCCAATGAGAACACAAAATGTTCAATCTGACAAAACACCATTCTCAAAGGATTCCACACTGCAAACATGCCCCGATCCCAGTCCCAAAGCCCCAGATGGTCCTGGTTCCAGTGTCCCAGATGGCCCTAGTCGAAAGTGGTCCCGTAGGTCAACTCCCAGGAGCAGTAGTGTTACATCTTCAACGCCACACGGGTCCTACCGGACCCGACGTAGGGGTAGAGGGACACAGTAGGGCCAAAGGCCCGACCTTGGGGGGTACTACAGGCCGTAAAGGCCTTACCTTGGACCAGACCCGACGGGCAGGCCCAAACGACATTACCGTTTGGG